CAGCTGCATTCCAAAGCTGTTTTTCCATTTAAATTTTGGTGCACTAATTTTGTTAACAACAGTGATGAACTTTTCAGTAACATTTGCAGCTATTTGTTCGCTCTTCTTCCGTATTCGACACCTCGTTATTCCTGTGAAATGTTTTGAAACTGCTAGGCAATTTGTAGAGGAACTAGAATGTTCTTTCCTAAAATATTGAATACCAGAATCTTGTCCTGGTGCATGGCTTTAGTAGTCCGGAGAATTCACGCACTTTTCAGTATGATATACGGAGTGAAATCATCACAACTGAGGATATTTCTGAACAGGAAGAGACCAGGGCAAAGAAAGTATGTGCCACTTAAATTTTTATAGGTCAGGTAGACGCTTGTGAGGGGTGGCTGGGATGAAAAAAGCATGTTGGTTAGGTAACTTCGTGGACACCTAACTTAGGAGCCTGTACTACTCGTTCTACTGTTGCTTCGCCTCCCACCATGCACAAACTTCGGGATGCAATAGCCCTTCGACGCAGTTTGTTGGACAGTAGGAAACCTGCGTGGATAAGCAGTAGTACACCAATTATGAGTGGTACTGAAGAGACGACCGGTGCAGTGGGATTGTGAAGATTGCTTACGGATAGTGGGAAAACGGCTGATAAGATAAGCCTCAGTGAATATGTATAAAAACAAATCCACAGCAGAATAGTTTGTGGTCGAGTGGGTTTTCTTTCTTTAAGTAAACGATGACTGAAAAGGCGTAAAGATTCTTTTCCAGACCGACATTTGACCGAGACTTGTAGTAACTATTTGCGGTACTAATCCCCCGGAAAACAGTATGGCAATGTATCATGCACCTGTATTGTGGTGCACCGACATACCGTCGGTATATCCATGAACGGACGGTGGGCCCAATATGACCCTATCGACAAAAGGTTGAAATTTTCGGGCGATATATGCTCAACTGCTCGAGAGGTGTAGAAATCTGAGAGGACCAAGGTGTTTAGTGATCGGCGTTTGAGAATTATCATTTGGATCCGCTGAAGTATTTCAGTATGTTCTCGTTCTTTCCTAACCAGAATTGTCGATGATTGATTTTACTTCTGGTAGTTGGTATTTTCGCAGCACAGGGTTGGCTGGCATTCGAGATACCCCAGTTGCATATGGTATCCGTCATCTCTTGCTTATGTAGTTGGGTAATCGTTCAAGAGATTGATCATTTTATTGGTGGCTGTTACCGAGTGTGAACCCAGGATATAAGGTTAAATATTTGGACGTGTGTATGTTGATGGTAAGGGATAAGTGGGCCCCCAGAACTTTCCTTCCTCTTCTGAAATTCACTTATGATTAAGGATAGGATAGGATGGACGATGATGTAAGAAAAAATTGGTCATCGTGGTGGAACTTATATCCATATAAGATTGATTATTTGATCGATGTAGCACTCAGTGACCGTATAATTTACTGAGTGACGTTTCTAGTAGAATTTATTGCTCGCATTCAAATGAAACTTCGTTTGTATATTCCAGACAGTTCTTCATCCTTTTGTCATAAAGGTAGTTTAATTTTCCGTATATCTGCAGCATGTGATGGATCGTTCCCGTCACATATATTACCTGAGAAGGATGTCCGGAGTAGCTTTATCTTTGGGGCGGGACTTGTACCATTGGCACACTATGTCTAAAATAATGCCGACGTAGTCATTTCATCCCGGTTGTTTATTATTCCTACGGGTGTTTATTTGAGCGGGAGTTAGAAAGAACTCAGAAAGATATATCTGAGCTGTCCACGTCTGGAAGTTTGTAAGTCTTAACAGGAAATGCGCGGGTGTAGTTATCGGAGTGTAGTACTTCACTCCCATTGATGTCTTCCTAAGTGATATCCTCATAGTCCACCATTCATAACATAAGCCGCTAGTCTACTGCTCCAACTTCTGGAGATTGAAGAATGACATTAAATTTCCGATAAGAGTAGAGGATGATAGCACGTAAAAAGATCCGTGCTAACTCGTTTGCAGTTAGAGTTTGTAAACTTTCAAACTCCCTTACCTCAGCATTCGTTACAGCCCCGTTTCCTGACACCTTCAAAGGAGGTCGGATGCACATCTAGAGTCTTGTGGCACCAGTGGGCTGTACTTGAGAAGCTTTTCGTCATCTACAGATCAGGAGGAGCCTTACTGCCTTGGGACCTGATTAGTTAACAGTCGATTATTTCAATCCTTTCCGGTTTCTCCAAACCATTAGGGCGATTTTCACCATTAAAAACCCAGAACGTACTCCGATAAGACAGACTTGGAACTCAAAAAACCATCATTCACTAATTCTACAACACGAAGTTTGAATCACCGGATCTTCAATAAAAGGAAAACACACTGCATATACACTTCTATTTGACTGTCTTTCACCGATAAGTCAAGCATCAGCGAACACACAATTCAACTGTATGTCAGTCAAGAAAGTGTAACCCAATGGAGAACCAGTTCACCGTTCATTGAGGTTTGAATAGCGCTTGAGTAGCGTTTAGCCGGATAGTTAAGGTCTGAGCGGGCTTTGTGGTTTCAGTCGTGTGGACATGAGTTTCCAGAAGAAGGTAGTTGCTGTATTTTCTCGTGTTATTATGTTATACAGCCTATCATTATAGACGCACAGGGTCACCTGCTTGGCCGTCTAGCTGCTCTAGTTGCCAAATCTCTTCTTCAAGGGCAAAAGATTGTCGTTGTTAGATGTGAGAACATCAATATTTCGGGGTCATTTTATCGAAATAAGTGTAAGTTTTACATCATAGTAATTAGTTTCCAGTGAAATACCTTGGTTTCCTACGGAAGAGAATGAATACCAATCCATCAAGGGGACCTTATCACTTCAGAGCACCCGCCAAGATATTCTGGCGAACAGTCCGAGGTATGCTTCCTCACAAGCTCCATCGTGGAAAACTGGCCCTCGACAGGCTGAAAGTTTTCGAAGGCATACCTCC